GAGTGTATTAATTGTGTACAAAGTAAAACTATATTTATTGACGTCACAATAAACGAAAATAGATCACAGTCAATGTTAATGTCGCAATTTTAAAAAAGGAAAATTAATTATAAAAATCTTTTTTTTTCTAATATACCTATATAAATATTATATAATACTTAGAGCCAAAAGAACCGATAGACAACCTCCCCGTTGCTCGTCGTTCCGGTTCTAATACTGATCATTTTACGTTCGGTGATAATATTATACGCCCGTGGTTTAGTAATATTATTATTGTCGTTGTTGTGTTGTTAAATTAATATTATTATGTACATATTATTATTTATAACGTTAGACGGACACGAAAACATGGCGAGTACAACGGGAATGAATAATGCATACGACTTTAATTCAGTATCGCACCCGCGATCGCGAGGGACGTTGTTCACGCAGATGTTGTGTACGTATAATAATAATAATAATATTATGATGGAACGACGACGACGACGATGATGGCGGTGGTGTGTCGATTAGGAAGATGCGATGAGGTAGTGGTGGTGTATAAACTTTGTGGCGTCCCGATGGCCTCGAAAGAAGCCGTGAGATAGGTGGCTATAAGTCGAGAAAAAAATCAGCGATACCTCTATCAAACCAAGTCGGCGATCGACTACAGAGTACTGCGTCTCATTATGCATATTACACGGGTTCCGGTGGCACGGTAAATTACGGGATTTCGTGGAATGTTTCGTGCAAAAACAAGACATCCGTTGGAAATCGTATTATTTATATGCGCAAGACGTACACTACAACGCGAAGAGATCAATGATGTTCTCGGGCAAAGAGGAGAGGAACAACCGTCGCGTTCGTAACTTAATAATGTTATAATTATTGTATGTGTCGCCCAACACTTGGCGGAGAAAACGTGTATTACCAGCTGGCTGAAAGTTCGTATTTTAAAATATGAAATAGTTCTTATAAGCATAAATTTAAACCAAGTTCACGAACTCATTAGTACGTTTTTACTGCGTCGACTTGTTTGGGGCGAGTTTATTAGAGCCAAATTGACTTAGAAGTTATTTTTTATTTAAAAAAAAAAACGTACTAGTTTTTCCTTACCGACACGATTGTGTCGAAACTCGACTTCCATGCAATATGGCCAACAACGGTTTAAAACCATTTGTCTACCCGTCGAGAAAAAAATCAGCGATACCTCTATATAGCCATGTGCGACCCGTCAACAATCGACTACAGAATACTGCGTCTCATTATGCATATTACACGGGTTCCGGTGGGACGGTAAATTACGGGATTTCGTGGAATGTTTAGTGCAAAAACAAGACATCCGTTGGAAATCGTATTATTTATATGTGCAAGACGTACACTACAACGCGGAGAGATCAATGATGTCCGCGGGCAAAGAGAAGAGGAACAACCGTCGCGTTCGTAACTTAATAATGTTATAATTATTGTATGCCGCCCAACACTTGGCGGAGAAAACATATAGGACTAGCTGGCTGAAAGTTCATATTTTAAAATATGAAATAGTTCTTATAAGTATAAATTTAAACCAAGTCCACGAACTCATTAGTGCATTTTCACTTCGTCGACTTGTTTGGAGCAAGTTTATCATAGCCAAATTGACTTGGAAGTTATTTTATATTTTAAAAAACGTTCTAGCTTTTCATTGCCGACACGATTGTGTTGAAACTCGACTTCCATGCAATATGGCGAAGAACTGTTTAAAGCCATTTGTCTACCCGTATGGCTGTACTCGTTACTTTGAATCGATATTGAATACCAATATTATAAATTGTTAATCAATTTTTCTTAAATTTTGGAAAAAAATATCAATATTAAGCCATTTAAAAAGGCAAACGTGATGTATTCTATATTAAAATATATTCAGTTACGAATTTTAAGACGTAATTCAGATTTTTTATTTAGGATTTCCGGAAGTTCCCTCAAGTGGATATAGCTATAAATAAAATTTCCTGATATGTAATCTACGCCTGTAATAATTAGGTATATTATTACAACACAGGACCAAATGATGAGGTCATAATATTATATTACTCATACATAATGATCCCGTTTATAATGTATAATATAATTTTGTAGCGCGCATCCAAACACTGAGGGCGCCGCCGGTAAAACAATAATTTTACCATCCCACTGCATAATTCATCACATTTTAAGATATATAACGTCCCAAAAATGCCAAACTTTGTCGGGAGTACTCAATCCTTGTTTTCTCTTAAAAATAATATATTATTATACGAGCCGAGAAACGACAAGAACGGTGCTTTTATTAGTATATATACATGTACGCATCGGGGTGGCAAAGAGAGGGGCGTATGGGTCAATGCATTATCGAAGAGGTTGTTTGAAATATAAATGATTGCGGAAAGCTTCGACCCTCGTCTAACGGATGGAAAGTCAAAATGATCGTAAAATTTAAATTCAGATATCGGTGTATTACGACGGGTTTCCTTGAGGGCCAAACGCCCGCCGCCTCTGCCGCCAAATACCGAATTCCTCATACGTTTAAAATCCATCCCCTGGGACGTATACGTGTACGTGGGGGAAACTGTTTCCACGAGACTAAAAGGTTTTGCTACATTAATATTTTTTCTGAGAGGAAAATTAAAATATCATCTCGGGGAACCCACGCGAAATATATTATTATTTCACTCCGTTTCGGCAGTGTTATCAAAGGGGAGGTATAATATAATCATATATGTACATTCTACTGACACAAATCAGAGTCGAATATACTACGACGTAGAAAGTGACGCGCAGTGAGTAGATTAAAAGAGCGTCTTATCGTCGTTGTTCGTTTATCGACGCATTATATTATTTACCTACCTTCAAAATGTAATTATACTACCTATTGCATACGATTTAGCTCGTAGACATTATAGTTCACTTACTGGTAGTACTCATGTTGGATCCCAAAATGTTTTTCAGTTAATATCCTATGCCACGGTGTCGCATCAATTTGACGTGGTTGGTTTAACACAAGACAAAATTACAAAATGTTGAAGTCTTTTTTTTTAAATTTATTTTTTTGAGCAGATATTATTACTTACAGTGTAAACGTTGATCATTAGAAATTTAAATTCATCACATTTATCTTCATTCCTGTCCATGCCGTTGGAATATGTTCATCGTGAACATCACAATATAAAATATATTATTTGAGTCGTAAATTACATAATATTAGCATCAAATAGCTAAGACTAATCTAGTATATTATCAAAACAAATCCGGAACCCGAGTAGGAAGTATATTAATTTAATTTCGATCCCACTCGTATGCATCCAATTGTATTAGTTGTGTACTGCTAGTGCTAAATTATTAAGAGGGTAAACTACTATAGTGAAGAATAACTAAGTAAAATTATAGGAAAGTACCTCCATGGACATAGGAACTTACTCCGATGAACCATTGCAGAATGCGTGTATTAGTTTATAAGTTGCTGCGAGCAATTTGAATAAGACCCTAATGAGTATATTTTCAAAAATTATATTACGTTTTAATAATATCTGAATTTCACCTCCCTTAGTTGGAGTGTCTACCTAACAAACTCGGTCTTATTCTACTGCAACGCACTGCAATCGGATTACACCTCACCGTGTAAACGTTGAAAGTCTAAAGGTATTTTTTTTCTCGAGCACAACGCTGTGTAATGATCAGCACTTATCGTTGAATATTTACGTAAATACCTACACCGCCGAACAGGGAGGATTAATCGTTGAGTATAACGTTTTATGTAAGTCATGTACGATAAACGCACATGGCATTAATACCGTCAGCCGCGGTCGTTGTTATCGATCGGTTTTTTGATCGGATGAAGCCAGAAGACGATTGTTATATTAATTTTTTTTTTTGCATTAGAATTAAAACCAAATTACAATAACCATGGTACATAAATGTAAGTACACCCATAACGATTTATACGTAAAGAATAATTGTATTGTTCCATTAAAAATTTGTCACTGACATACAAAATACTTAGACGGGTACATTTATTCCTCAAGGACTTAAAAACATTCAATGTTTGCTAATATACATGCCAAATCTGCAGATTTATTCGTCATAAAATAATTGTTTATTTTAGGAACTTTATAGAATTAAAGTGCATTAAAAAAAAAAAAAAAAAATGTATAACATTTAATTTAATATAAAGTTGTGCTGCCATGTTAGCCGTATCACATATTGAATAAAATAATATTTTATGTTATCGGTGAGTTGTTATTATTATTATTATTATTATTATCAATAATATTTTTCTGAAATAACGACAATTAAATCACATACTTTTATTATAAATTATGTTTAGAAATTAAAAATAATAATCTTGATTTGTTTTTAACTTTTTATTGGGGTATGATAAAAAATTATGTAACTTGATTGATAAATGACAATTAAAGATATTTGTAAGTTTTGAATAGTAATTCTGCATTTCTAAATCCCCCCAAAAATTGGCACCATACTTTTTTGTCCCTTTTATAAATACGTCTTTACGTCTTTGGGTACATCACGTGTACCACTCGTCAATTATCATTTTTATTATTGAACCTGTGAATAGAAAAACAATTTTGTCTCTCCTTGAAATGTGGTTAACGGATATTATTATTTTTTTTTTTTGTCACGGAAATACCCATATTTTTTTTAAAAAACAAATACGTCATATGCTGTTCTGAAAGTAATTTGCACTGTAAATACACTTCCGTTTTCATTTATGTTCACACCAGTAAACACACACAGCAGACCATGAGAAAACAAACACCTTAAAAATTGGTTTTCATAAATAGACGTAGGGTGGAGTATTTATTGTGCTATTTTTTTAGGCAGGTGCATATGATTACCAAATAAATAAACTACTATATAATTATATGTATAATACTTATTATACAGGTAACTCGTTTTATTAAAATTTAATAATAAAATATTTATAGTATAGCTTTTATGAAAAGTAAAACAATATGACCTTTTCGTGATGAAAACAATTTGAAGATCTATTTTTTGCCAACTTCAAGATTTTCAGTTTGCTGGGAATCAGCGGTGGCCGATCCACCAACGGAATCAACTTGTCGGTTTACTGAATCAAAGTTGGATGATTCGTACTGAGGTGAAGACGATGATTTTGTATATCCAGATATCGAAGATGAAATAGGAGTTTTGGATCCGTAAAACGACTGTTGGTCAAAACTGTAGGAGCCACTCTCCTGGGTTTGACCCGATCCGGGATAGTTAGATTTTCCGTAGTCAGATCCAGCGTTATCAGTTTCAGTTTTCCTGGACCCTCCAATGGAAACAACTTTTTGGTTTGATGAATCAATGTTGGACGATTCTGACTGAGGTAAAGATGACGGAACAGGAGTTTTGGATCCGTAAAACGACTGTTGGTCGAAACCATATGATCCACTTTCCTGGGTTTGTCCCGATCCAGCGTAGTTAGATTTTGCGAAGTCAGATCCGGCATAATCAGATCCAGTCTGCACGGAATCAGCACTGTAACCAATTTGTTGAGCTAGTGAATCAAAGTCGAACGATTCGTACCGAGGAGAAGACGACAATCCTGTGTATGCAGCTGTCGTAGATGGAGCTGGAGTTGTGGACCCAAATAATTGCTGTTGGCCGAAACTGTATGAGCCACTCTCCTGGGCTTGTCCCGATCCAGCGTAGTTAGATTTTGAGAAGTCAGATCCAGCATAATCAGATCCAGTCTGCACAGACCCAGCAATGGAACCAACTTGTTGGGCTACTGAATCAAAGCCGGACGAATCGAACTGAGGTGAAGACGACGATGCTGTGTATCCAGCTGTCGAAGATGGAACGGGAGTTGTGGACCCATAGAATGACTGTTGGCCGAAACCATACGAGCCACTATCCTGAACTAGGCCCGAATCGGCGTAGTTAGATTTTGTGTAGCCAGAGACAGCGTATTCTGATCCAGCCTGTCCAGTTCCAGACACGAACGAAGATTGAATAATTTGATTGTCGGTGACTGGGGCTGCGGTCGATCCGGAAGTGTATGACTTATACGATTCTTGCTGCACGACGATCGGTGACTGTTGATAGTAGTGGACGGTAGCGAAACGTTGAGCTGGTGATCGGACGGGTACAGGAACCTTGACCTCGTACGGTACGGCGACAGGATATGGGACCCGTTTTTCAACCGGATACGGAACTGGCCTGTCGACGTTCACGGGCACTTTGACCTGGACGGGGACCGGTACTTTGACTGGCACTTCGTATTTAACTGGGTACGGGATCCGCTTCTCGACAGGATATGGCACTGGCTTTTCGACCGGATACGGCACAGGCTTCTCGACAGCATACGGCACTGGGCGTTCGACGGCAACAGGGTATGGCACAGGTTTCTCGACTGGATACGGACGGTCAACGTTGACGCGCACTGGATAAGGTACTGGTTTTTCGACTGCGTATGGCACTGGTTTCTCAAATGGCACACTCACTGGATATGGCCGATCGACGGGCACGCGAACTTCATACGGCACTGGCTTTTCAACTGGATACGGGACACGTTTCTCTACCTCCACTGGATATGGGCTAGGAACGGGCACAGCGCGGTCGACATGCACTCGGACCGCGTATGGAACGTGCTTCTCGACAGTCACCTGGTATGGGTGTGGGACGTGCACCAGCACTGGGTATGGAATGCGCTTCTCGATTTGGACGTAGTATGGTACTGGTATTTCTCGATTGATGGTGATCTCGTGGGCTGGAGACGGTGCAGAGTGACCTCCGTACTGGGTGAAGGCGCTTCCCTGTGAGTACGAGTACGGAGCAGGGATGGGATTGGATCCAAATGTGTTGAAAGAATTGACTGAAACTGCTGCAGCTGGGCCAGAAGACAAGCCACTAAACGCGAGTGGTACGGCTGTGGACTGGGATTCGATCGCGAATGGGGCAGGAGTGGACTGGGAGTAGGAATCGGCTATGGATTTGAATGAGTTTTCCGGTGTTGTGGATGATGTGCTGTATTGAAGCGGGTTAGGAGTGGAGGATGAAGTACTGTATTCAAAGGGGGAAGAGGTGGGCAGGGAGCCAACTGTACCGTAGGACTTTATTGAAACCACTGGGGAAGAAGACGAATCACTAAACGCTAATGATGCAGGAGTGGACTGAGATTCGATCCCGAATGTGGCAGGAGTGGACTGGGAGTACAACGCGGCAATTGACTTGAACGAGTCCTCTGGTGCAAAGGTTCGTGCGCTGTATATTAACGGTGCAGGAGTAGACCGGAATGAACTGAACTGGAAGGGTGCTGGAGTGGGTTGAGTACCGTATGAGAATGAAGCCGAGGCGGAGGACAAACCTTTGTATGTGAATGGTGCAGGGGTGGAATGCTGAAGTGATTTGAAGATGAACGGAGCAGGCGTTGGTTGGGTGCCGTACACTAATGGAGCTGGGGTAGATGAGAGACCGAAAGACTTTGCACCAAACGAGAATGTGGGTGGATGTGAATAAGCCACATTCGAATGATCGCCGGATGCAGACTCAAGATTTCCATTGTGGTTCGTGTTCTGGGTGTGCGTTTTATGGCACTGTTTAACATTCTTAAGGTGTACGACATCTGCGAACGCACCGGATGCGACAAAAAGTCCTAGGATGACTGCTTGAAACTGAAAAAAAAAATTTTAAGTTTGATTAGTTTAGGCATAAGTACTTGCATTCATTTTTATTTGAAAAAATAAATAGTCTCTATGATGTAGAGAATATTTGTAGACCAATGAGTATACTGCAGCGTACTATTCAACTGTATTACTTCATTATATGATTCAGTTTTATTAAACACCTCTTAATCATTATCATCGGTTTTCATGCTATTTTCTGTATATATATTTAAAATTGTTCAATAATTCTTGCAATTCAATTTTATAAGCATTTTAAATAAAACAAGACTATCATTTTTTAACCACCTACATAAATGACTATAATAATATTATGTTTACGAGAACATATTTAATTGTGACAAGCATGTTTAATTTTCATCTACCCGATCTAAAAATTGAAAACAGATAGTATCTGCATGGTTTTTATTAATTATTATTTTAATCCTGTCAATATTTTATTATTATATGATTAAAATCAATAGAATATTAAAAATGTTAGTAAAAATGTTAAGATTCAAAATAGGAAGCTTAATATACCATTTATTAATTTATTTATAATTTGAGTAAATAAGTCAATATATTTATTGAATTAAACGTATACAGTTTAGTTAAATCACAGTGTAGTATTATAATCTTAACAGAGTTATAATTCTTGAAATAAGTTTCTAAATTAATTTAATATAACTAATATTTCATGAGTAATTCTTTAATAGAAAAACAAAAAAAGAAATGTTCACGAAAAAAAAACAAATTTTATGAAACGACCATGTATATTTTTTTGACAAGTGGACTTATTGCATTTTATTAATATTTTTGATAGTAAAATGTAAAGAGTCACCTCACTAAATAATATATTTAGAATTATTATAATATGTTTTACAGGTTAGATGGGAATGTAATGTCCTAAAAAAAAAAAAAATGCTTTTATGCACTAAAAACTCAAAATAATGCTCATTTAGAATGCTCTTAAATCATTTTTTTCTAAACAATAGTTTAAAATAAAAAAATATTTTTATTAAATTTAAAAAAAATTTGACTGCACCATATTTATTTCAAGTAAAAATGTAGAAACGTAGGCTTTTAATCTGAAAAGGAAATGTTCTCATATAATTTGCATTCGCTACTCGATATCTCGATATTTACATAATTAGGAATTATGATCCATTCGAAAAATTACAATTAATTATAATAATATTTGATCGAGACAAAAACCTTATTGGCATATTAAAAAATTATTTTTATAAGAAAAAATCTTAAAAATTAAATTAAAAAAAAAAACTGAAATTTAGCGTTAGATGCCCTTAAAAACAATAAAATTCTGTAAAAATTAAAAATAGTAGATATAAAGTAAAAACTTCTTATTCTGATTCAAAAATATATTAAACGTTCGTTTTAGACGAATCGCGTTGGTAGACAATACATAATGTGCATCAAAATCCCAACCCTATATGTATAACGTATATTACTTATTATTTATATTATTATGTATTTAAAATTAATGCGTTTTTGCGCGACATAATCGCAATGTACACGGAGATGATAACAATATTGTATTGAATATCACGTCAAATTTAAATTTTTAAATTTTTTTTGTTTTCAGATAAAAACGAAACGAGATAGATTTCAGTCAACGCCGTCAGTTATTTATTCGGTGTATCTCACGAGTATCGGGGAAGAAAAACTTGGCGTCGAGTTGAGCTTCAGATCATCGAATAGGTAAGTATCACAACCAAAACAGTAATCAGTATACCTAGTTATAGTACTTACCATAGTGGTAGCCATCGTGCACTTGGCTGTCACCGTGTTCTTTCGCCGGTCGAGAGTCACTTGCAGTTACCAACACTACAACTGCTGCTGGACGACGGTAACTGTGCACTGTACTCTGACGATTGTCGCGTTTTACTATATATATAATAGATACGATGGTACCAGCGCATCTTTCGGATTGTCTCCCGAAAACCAGTAATTCAAGATGGGAGAATGTTAATTTTTTTTGTCAATTTCAACGAATCTCGTTATAGGTTAAAATAATAATAATATTATGTACCTATACCTAGGTGTAATAATATTATAATACCTCTTACAAAGTAATCAAAAGTCGTTTTCTCAGTTAATTTGTTTCTGATTTTTAAAATATTTTTTTAAGTAGTTTAAACTCATCAAGGCGCAAGCAGTTTTTCAAAAAAATACATTTTTCAATATTTTTGTTTTTTCACACCGTGCTATATTTCTGAGGATTCCGATGAATACCAATTGAATCCTTGATATCTATGGTTGATAATATAGTTAAAACTGTAAAATTATAATGGTGTTACATATTTTAAATTTGATTGAGCAGAGTAGGGTACCCCACAAAAACTGTAATAATTAAATAAAACTCGAATTATTGCTTAAAACAATACTATTACAACTAATTACTAACTAAATGTTGGAAATTGAATTTTAATCTAAATATTTGGCTTACTAATATAGAATAAAAAATATTTATTAGGTACCAAATATATTTTTCAAGAATGTTTTGTTCTAATAATATTTTGAAGTAGGTACCTATTATGTAAAATAACAAATGTCCGTTTGTTGTTTGCTATAAATAAATTATTACGATTTTTTCTCCTGATTTAATATGTAATTCGTGTTTTTTATTTGTATACATTTCGCCGTTCCTCTCGATGAGTTTTCGAAAACCGGTTAGGTTCGCACCATATTATTTTAATTCGATTACGTCGTGAATTGTTGCATAGTCCGCCGACGCGCCGCCGTATCGAAAGTATCTCGTCGACCTTTCGTGGCACTCCGATGTTGTACGACCATAATTATTTTACCATACATTTTATACCAATACGATAATAATATCATTATAATATGTTTATAATTTTAACAATACTACGTTCGTCACTTCGGTCTTCACGGTCTTCACTCGTATGAGAGATCACCCACAATGAATTACGACGGACAGGACGTGTACATAATATTACATCCGTACTTATAAACATAATCAGTGTTGGGAATAGATAACCAAAAAATTATCTAGATAAGATGAGATAATTTTGACAAAATATTATCTAGATGAAAATAAAGATAACATAAATATAATTTATCTAGACAAAGATAAATACAACAATACATTTATCCAAATAAATATCTAGATAAAAATCATTTTTTTACACTTATTTTTATTGTTTTGTAGTATTTTTGTAATATTAGATTTATATCAATATAATGACATAATATTTATAATAGCAAAGGGTGAGCCTTTGAAATACAGTTCTACGAAGTTAATTTTAATCTATTTTTAAAATGGATGGGTAAAAAAACCTATACCTAATTAATTTTAAATATATGCTCATTATGGCTTGTAGAGAACGATGTATAGTGCCATCTCGCATGCAGGTTATCGTGTTATCGTAATAAAGTCGTTGGTAATAATAACAAAAAATATATTCTTTTCATTTTATAAATAATTCAAATATTAGAATTTTAGTAACATTGGTCTTATAATTTTGTAGAGGCATTAAAACATTTATCTAGATAAGCCAATTTTTTATCTAAGCTAAACATTAGATAAATCGTAACATAATTATCTAGATACTTCAAAAGATAATTTATTTCAAAAAATCTTATCTAGATAATTCCCAACACCGAACATGACATATTGATTAGAACGGTAATCAGCGCCCACATTGCCTAGTATTGCTATAATTGTGTTTTGTCTATCAAATATGTGTTGTAAACATATTTTATGGTAAATTATTCGACTGAATTATATTTATAGTTGTGGTCGTCCTTCGGTAATTTATTTGGTTAGTATACTGTGTCTTCCGATAACTTATTTGTGCTGTTGGTCAATTGTCGTTAATAGGTCATCATATTTTATTCGAGTCTTCATATCATATTCTTTATAATAATATAAATTATTTATACTGCCTATGCCGAGAATAAAACTTTATTTTTTTATAAAATAAGCGAAGAAATTTAAAGATAATACGCATTATTATTGTTTCTTTGGCCTTTTTATTTTTTTAACATATTTCGTTGAACAGGAAAATATTTCTACGCCTATCACACACATAATATTTTTTTCGACATAATAAAATAATTATATCATAATATCTCGTATCTGTTTATTATGTCCGTGCAGTACAATGTTCGCTGTTTGACGTCATACACATTGCGCTTACCATCGATCGGCCGGTCTTGCGGTGTTCACTATTATTCGTTTGTCGTTTGGCCGCAAATCGAATGCGGACGCGCAGAGCAGTTCTGAGGAGGATTTTATCTTTTAAAAGTCGGCTATTTGTGTACACACAGCGTTGCACACATCACACGGCTGCATCATAATATAAGTGCGCCGTGTGTAACATCTCGAGATTTTTTTTAGACCTCGCTGCATTTTCATAATATTTATTATTCCGCAAACGTCGCGATCTTATTAAAAAAAAAAACGAAAAATATATATATTATACATTAAATGTGCAGAGACTTCTTTTCGACGAGTGCTGGTGCCGAACACTGCGCTTTACGCGTACGCACGCTCACGTCGAATGGAAATCAACGTCGTTTAAGGGGCCACTAACATTATTATTTTTAATCAAAAACTACTCATTATAATATTCCAACAGTACGTAACAACGACCCCGAATTTTGCTCTGAAAAAAAAGGCAAGCTCTCCATAATATATGTGTACGAGTGAGTGACCGAGCAATTTTTATTTTTGACTTTGGTGATAAATGCGATTTAAAAATTAGAGGTTCAAAAAATGTCAAGGTAAAATATATATTTTAATCAACTAAAAATACGTTTAACTACACGTTCGTGGTCAGTTTCCGCTACAACAGTAATTTCAATAATTTTTTTCAATTCTGATGTAATGGGTCACTACTGCTATAGCAGTAATTTACAAACCCACAAAATCGGGCATTACTGCTCATGAAGTAATATATTTCCAATGGTATTAAATGGAACTAAACATATGTGACTGACCTATTATGATCACTCATACGTTTGGGCACATATACATATACAATTTAATTTTTGTAAAAATTTGAGTGGTTTTCCGAGGAGGGTAAATTAATAATATAAAATGTGAAGTGACCACGAACGTGTTAAAATGTTTTTCTGTCGTTTCATTGTATACATGCTACCTATAGAGATTTCAAATATGTTTTCCAGCATGGTAATACTATTGGAGAAAGAATTGTGACATAGGTACTATAATTGGGGTAATTAGTCAGAATCGTCTGTTTGAGCGAAAAATAGAAATGTTTTACAGAACAGATCGTTCACATGTGTAGTATTATATTTTCATGGGGGTTTCCGTTTTCCAGTCTCCCGTATACCGTATACCATTGCACAACCGGAAATTTTTATTTGTGGAGGAGGTACAATAGTCAAGACTTTTATTTCGATCACATTTTTTTTCTATCGTGCTTTAAAATAAAACAAATTTTAATTTGCATTTTTTGCTCAACAAAGCACTCTCTGAATGGCGATTAGGAGGTGATGTAGACACGGGGTCCGCCCCTTCGGTGTGCCACTGACGTTCTACACTAATGATCATTTACGAGTAACACAACGATATTAGTAGCCTATAAAGTGTTACTTGGAATCTATAATAGTAGTCAGTAGGCCTCTTAAAAATCAATCTTTTAGTGCAATTTGTAAAAATAAAAACGCCTTAGATATCCGATTGGTGAGCGCACTCACGATCCCTTTTTTTTTTAAAATACTATTGTCACCAACAGAACTCTAGATATGTAAATGTATTGTACGTAGTTTTTGAATAATTCAGACGCTTTATGTATTATTATTATTATTATTATTATTATTATTATTATTATATAACAGTTTAGTCGAAGTCAGCAAACATCGCGCGTGGATGAAATACATTTTCCCTCTAAAATGTGTTACATTGCCGGATTTTTTTCAAAGATTACCTTACAACTCTTTAAGACCTACATTGTTGTCGTACATAACGCAACTCATGTTTTTTTTAATACTATTACGACCAGTGTCGTCCTAGCTCTAAAAAAAAAAAAAACATAAACATTTATTACATAAAAATATTATACATATTTTTGTGTTGTTACTATTATTATTATTATTGTTAAAGCGGTGAGCAACGAAAAAATGTGCTCTTAAAATCGATCATAAAAATTCTCAAAACAGCAGCTTTCCATTAGTAAAAAAAATTCTTTTTCATTTTTCGAGACTAGCAGTCTTTTTTTTACGAGTATTGCGTTTTTTAATGAACGAGAATTATTATTATGAAAATAACAATAAAATCCGACCATACATCACCTAAATAGTTCATTTTTATGCCACCGTGGCATTTGATCATTTGCAATTTTATTCAAAATTTCATATTTTTACGATATAAAACGTTATAAACCGTTTACTACCCCTGCGAGGTCTTAATGGTGGTCAGACACGTGAAATACAATTTAAACTTAGCCCTCGTTTTGTGTCACAATATATACGCTTTGAGTTTTCACTGCACTGTTTTGCATTAACAAACGGGTTTCGCGATGCATTGACCAACTTTCGAAATCGCTAGTTTTCTGAAATACTTTAGTGATTACCTATTAGTTAATACGATTTGATATTGCAAATGGCTTATAATATATTATACAGTTTTCGTGACGGCGTGCTTTATATATTATTTTGTATTATTAAATTTTTGAACACTACGTTTTATTTCCATATAACGTGTTTATATTATTTTCTCGACGTGATTTATTTAAAAAAAACCGAATTTCAGTTGTGAACAATAATATTATATCTGT